CTCGAGTTCTTCACGGGAGAAATAGGTCAGCTCAACCATTTTTTAAAGGGTGGAGATCGGCTCGTGGCGAGAATTAATGCGAAGATTGGGGAGAACCTCGTCAACGCCGGGGATGCGGAGGCCCTGAAGGCGGCCCTGGTGTGCAGGGTAAAACGGAGCATCCTGAACCACATTCAGGCAGATGAAGAGACGCCGTGGGAAATGGTCAAGGAGAGACTGAAGAAGGCCTACGGCGGGGGCAGGTGGACTACGGAAGAAGACATATATCAGATGTTTCGCGAGGTGAAGTTTTCACGGCAGTCTAACGGACAGTATGCGGCAACATTAGTGGCTCACTACAACCGGGTCACCGAGAAGATGCGGGAGAAAGCTGGAGCCCCGGAGGTCGAAGCGAAGATGGTCTTCTTGTCCACCATACTGAAGGTGCAATTGGCTAAGGAAACAGGGAAGAAAGATGGCCTACCCCGGGAACGTTCGTTTATTGAATGCGCCCAAGAGATGGTAGATTCCAGCGCTCGAGATGAAGAAGCCCGGTTCGAGGGGGAGGAACCAGGATGGAATAGAGTGATCTACAGGAGACTTAGGAGTTCACCAACGACCTGGAGAAGGAGAGAGCCCGCACACAACGGGAGAGAAAAGACTACCGGAGCCGAACGAAGACCAGAGCAGGGTAGAGCAAGAGGTAGGCAGCGTAGAGAGGACAGGAAATGCCACGGTTGTGGAAAGAGTGGACACCTGGTGGCACAGTGTCCCCGCACGAAATGTTTTGAGTGTGGGACTGAAGGACACATTGCGAGGCAATGCCCGTACATTTATTCCAGAAGAGGCTCACAGAGGGTTGAGCCGATGGAGGTAAATGCCCAGGGAGTGAGGAGAAGAAGGAGTCACACAAGGAGGAGCGAGTCATCAAGAGACTCGTCGGAGGAATCCTTGGCCACGGAGACAGAGGAAGAAATAGAGGACCCAGTAGGCCGGGAGAACGAGAGGAGTCGAGGAAGAAGCAGCGGAAGGAGTGGACGCCGACAAACCGTGGAGAGGATCTGAGGAGAGTGCCAGGCGAGGGGTGACCGCACGCTAGTGAGTTGTAGCATTAGAGGAAAAAGCTGCTGGTTACCTATAATAGAGGTGGGAGGAGTGCGATGCCTGGTAGACACCGGGAGTTCCAACACCATCATGACACGGGGAGTGTTGAAGAAGCTGTACGATGGAGAGAGGACACTCCAAGTCAAGGTATGTAGTTGTAAGTTAATCACCCTGGGTGGCCCGTGTGGGGTAGAAGGGGAAGTGGAGATAGGTTTGAGGAGGTGGGCAGCCAAGGGAGGTAAACTTACGGTGCATGTAGTGGGAGAAATGCCGCGGGAATACCAGGTGATCATAGGATGTGATATGTTGGGGAAGGTGGGCGTGCGAATCGCATATAGAAGGGAGGAGTGGAAAATAAAGATGGGGAGAATCAGGTTTACGAGGACGATGGCAATAGAGGGGCATGAGGACCGGAGAGCACGCGTGGGAGCTATAAGTCGGGCGGAGGATTGGAGAGTAGTCGTGAGAAGGGAATTCGAAGACATCTTTTTCAAGGAGGGAGATACGTTGGGGGTGACGGGCAAAACGGTGCACGAGATCCCGCTGAAGCGCGAAAAGGTGAGCTACGTGAAAGAGAGGAGGTATCCGCAGGCACTGCGCCAATACATTAGGGAAGAGTTGGAGAGTCTGAAGAAGCAGGGGATAATTGTCGATAGCACGTCGCCATATAATAGCCCGCTATGGGCGGTTAAGAAGAAAGGCGCGCCCGGAGAGGAGAAGTACCGCGTGGTAATCGATTACCGCAAACTTAATGAGAATACTGTGGATGAAAAATCCCCAATCCCGAAGTTTGAGGACATTTTAGATCGGTTAAGCGGGGCGACGGTATTCAGTACTCTTGACCTGAAAGCGGGATATCATCAGATTAGGATGCTTCCGGAAGATCAATTGAAGACAGCATTCACGTTCGAGAGGGGGCATTACGAATTTACGAGAATGCCGTTTGGTCTCAAGAATGCCCCTATAACGTTCCAGCGGCTAATGGACGAGTACCTAAGGGGAATCGACGAAGGGATGTGCCAAATTTACATGGACGACCTGTTGGTATTTAGTAAAAACGAGGCGGAACACGTAGAGCATCTACGAAGGGTATTTGAGAGAGTCAGACAATTTGGGCTGAAACTGTCCAGCGAGAAATGTCTGTTAGGGCAGGACCACATAAATTTTTTAGGACACACGATATCGAGTGAAGGTGAAAAACCTGACGCGCGGAAAGTGGAGGCGATTCAGAAGATGGCAATACCTCGGGATGTAAAAGGGATCCGCAGATTGTTAGGAACCCTTAATTATTATCGGCGATTTGTGCCCGAAATGACGGAATACCTCGTACCCCTCAACAATTTATTAAAGAAAGGCAGCAAGGTGATAGTAACCCCCATAATGGACGACAACATTCGGAAATACATGGCGAGGCTGCAGGAGGAGCCAGTATTAGCATTTCCGGATTTTACGAAGGTGTTTACGATCACAACGGACGCTAGCGAATACGCGTTGGGGGCTGTGTTATCCCAGGATGGAAATGGGGGGGACCGTCCCGTAGCATATGCCAGCAGGCGACTTACGGAGGCAGAGTCGCGATACAGTGCGCTGGAGAGAGAACTGCTAGCGATCGTATGGGCTATCGACCATTTTAGGCCATATGTTTTTGGGAGGAAATTCCGCGTGCAGACGGACCATAGACCCCTACAATGGGTAGGCAAGCTAAAGGAATCTTCGGCTAGAGTCACACGCTGGAAGGAGATTCTAAACCAGTACAACATGGACATTGTGTACAAGCCCGGAAGAGAGAATGTGGTGGCGGATTGGCTATCGAGAGCGCTCACTATAAACGCCATAGAGGAGGATACAGCGGAAGCATCGGGAGGCGTGAGACAATTCCTGAGGGACTGGACGCCAGAAGGAGAGGGGGAACAAGTGGTGGAAGAAAATGTTGATACCCAACAAGAAGAGAGTCCAGCGGAAGAGAGGCCAGTGGACATGGAAGAACGGGAGGAAATCATCAACGATAAGAACCGCCAGATCATCTGGAAAACCAGGACGTCGGGTCTGATGAAGATATTGTATAGTAAGTACGGCAACAGCCGAATAACAACCATTTGGTCACAACCAGGGGCCAGCGGGGACCAGATCTGCAGAGCTCTCAAAGACGCGTCGAAAGCAGGAAAAATTCATCACTTATATGTAGGAAATGAAACGATTTGGGAGAAGATGAAGAGGCTCTGGCGGGATGAACGATTAGGGATGGATAGGACGTTCATTCGTTGCAAACTGATGGTGGAGACAGTGCGGGATGAAGAGCAGCAGAAGGACATAACGCTTGCTTACCACCAGGGCAAGACCAACCACCGGGGGGCGCAGGAGACGTTCCAAGCGTTGCGTAGGAAATATTTTTGGTGGGGGATGAGGAAAATGATCGCAGAGCTCATAGGGTCCTGCAGGGTGTGCGCGAGCACAAAGTACGATCGGCACCCCCCGAAAACGATGCAAGAGGAGACACCCACGGGCGATGTACCACTAAGCGACCTACAAGTGGACACGTTCACATGGAGAGGGTATAAGTGGGTCACGCTCATAGACCTTTCCAGCAAAGCAATGGCGTACCTGGTACAGGAGCGGTCAGCAGAGGCAGTCTTGAGAGCCCTCCAGACGTGGTTCCAATGTTACGGAGTACCCGATCGCATCACCTCCGACGGGGGCAGAGAGTTCGACAATGCCAGAATCAGAGCGGAGATGAAGAACGTAGGTGTCAGCTGGCATCTTAATACTCCAGGGCACCCCAAGAGCAGAGGAAGTATAGAGAGGCTGCACAGCACGCTTAGTGACCATCTCAGGGTGTATCAGGTGGAAAAAGGGTTGGAACCGGATGTGGCAATGCGCAAGGCGGTGGCAGCGTACAACCATTCTATACATACGGCAACAGGGTTCTCTCCATTCGAAATCCTCTTCGGATTACGCAGGCGGCAACGAGACTGGGGAGGTACAGCTACGGACGAGGAGATGACAGAAAGAATGGTTAGTAACAGAATGGAACTGGGTAATCTCTGGGGGAAGGTTAAGGATAGAATAGAGGGGGAAAAGCGGAAAAGGGTAGCGCGGGAAAATCTCAAAGTGAAGGAAGTGACAGGGGGATTGAAAATCGGGTCCATAGTGTATCACAAATTAGGCTCGAATAGGGGAAAGGAAGTGCGGAGATATGAGGATCCATTCAGGGTGATAGTCATTAGAGAGCATAATGTGGTGACGATTGAGAGTGTTAACGAACCGAAAAAACGAAGGACGGTTCACATAGAACAACTAAAATTTCCGATTACAGAGCCACAGCAACCTTAGAACTGGAGTGCCCTCGTCTCCGGAAAGAAGATTTTTTTTTTTTTGTTGTTTTGTTTGTTCTGTATATAGTGTTCTGACATAACGTTGTGTATATTTTGAAAGAAAAGTGCAAATGCAGTGAAGTTTCATTTGTGAGAAAAAGGTGTTATTTTTTTTTTTATTTTATTATATAAGGAATAATTTTGCTTGTTTTGCATTAGATTAGGTTGTAAGTACTGAACACTCCGTACCTGTGTTATAATGTGGACAAGAGAACCTTGTCGTTGTACATATAAGAATTTTACTTTTTGGTTTTTATGTTTTTTTTATTTTTTTTGAGTTTACGAAGAGTATCCGTAAACTGGTGGGGGGAGTTAAGGTACGGAGCGGGACAGTATTAGCTTTAATACCTAAAGCATTGATGTAAACAACTCAGAATGTATATATAGGAGATTATAAGGAGCAATAAAGCAGTCTTGTTTCTGACTTCATGCGTGTTATTTGTGGATCCTTTACTCTTTTTTTTAAGTGTTTGAAGCCCGCAGCGTTTAACTTATATATATATATACATATTAAAAAAATATATTTATAATTTAAACTATTTATAGGTACAAATCCAAAATGACAGAGCCAGGATGTTGAAAGTTCCATTAGTTACGTACGGTCAAGCTATGAAGTTTGCCCTCGAAGACGGTCCTGGATTTCTTCGGCCGTTGGCACCGGTTTCCTTGTAAGTTAGAGTTAGAGTTACAATAAATTCAAAATTAGTATATTCTGCAATCGTTACAACCATAATGAGTGGGGAAAACAAAGAAATATATATAAGAAATAAAAAATGATATAATGATAAAATGGTTTATCTAAGCTCAGTTCAAAAACAAGATTATTCGCAATTTTTTTTGTACCATTCTCTATCTGCACTAAAAGTATCTCAGTTATAGAAAAAAGCTTCCTCGTTTAATAAGCTTTAGGTCCAAATTAATTAGTTGGGATTTATTAGGAAAAACCTTAACTAAAATATTACAAGGTATACAATTTTTCGTATGAGAAAAAAATTTATGGGAGAAGCCGATTCGGAAATACAGTTAACTTTCACCATTCCAGGGTTTGATATCCACAAATTTCGTCTATCAGCTAATATTAAAATTTGAAAGAGTGCCGTATTTGAAGATTCCATATTTGAATCCCTCTCTTAATTCCATATCCTTAATTAAAACAAAAAAAAAAATCACACTGAAGATGCATTTCACTACTGTTAGTGCAAAAAGGTCGTATATAAAAATTGATTGTTTTACAAGAGTCCATAAAAACTCATTATTTCTTTATGCTTTATTAGTATAATTTCATATTTTATTGTCATCTGCTATTTTCCATAGAAGCAGAATACTTGTATCAGTTGCACACTATAAATGTCACGTTTGGCACAAACAGAATAAAAGTTGTAAAATTTGACATACGACCTTTTGCACTAATAGTAGTGATATATACTTAGTAGGTATGTTTTCACTAGTAAAATGGATGGAACTAGAAAATTCATAGGAAAAATTCAACTTGTTGTTTGTCAAAACATAATTGTTTATTGTTATATAAAAGTTTCCGCGTTTTTAGCGTTAATGACTACAATTACCTGTTAAAAAGCTTTTATTTCTTATTTTTCCATAATCTGGGATGAATTATAATAAACATAATTGTCCAAATACACTTTCAACTTATTGTTATAACGACACTTTACGTACTGTAAATGGACTGTTCTTAGGTGCTAGAGCAATATAGTCTCAGATCGGAAGTGTTGAAAGAAATCTATAAAGCCGCGATAGTTTCTAAGAGATGCTGTACATCCAGCTGTACAAGTAGGAAAAAGTTGGTGAAGTTAACGAGGCTCCAGAGGTTAATCAAAATTAAGATACATAAGACTAATCGCACGCTTTCATCGATGCTGCAATACTATCGACAGTACAATTGTCAATCCAAATGAAAATTGGAGAACGGGCGGTCACAGGAATATGGAGCCTACTCTTTACTCCCTTTTTTTGTTTTGCTGACGACCGCGCCATATTGTCCCAGAATGACAGCAACCTCCAAGACAATATTAATACCCTCAAGATAGAATTAAGAGTGATTAACATGGAAATCAAACACGGGTACTTTACGGGAACTGGATAGAAAATCACATCAACAAACATGAACTTAATTAATATGGACTTAAAGCTTTTTAAACGAGAAAGCTATTCTAAACCGAGATAAATATAGTAGAGTTTAAGGGTGATAAAAAAACAAAAAAAAAAATTAATTTATGACATTATTTTAAACGAAACTAAGCTGTGTCCGCTTATTAGTCCAGTTTAAACAGTTTTAAAATTGATAAACTCCACTTTCGTTTTAAGTAAATCTTGTCTTGTTTAGTATAGAGTCTAGTTTAATTACTGAAATAAAATATTTTTAACTTATTGCTTCTATTCAACAAAAATCGTGGCTCGCTTAAAAAACACATATCTCAAATTTCCTACTTTTCTGCTGGAAATTGGGCAATTGTTTATATGAACTTTTTTGTAGATCTTCATGTGTTCTATCAACCTTTTAAATATTCACGGGAGGGAAGCATGGTTTATTATATAAGGATTCTTTAGGATATTTATTTTACCTTACTTAAAATTAGTTTTGCTTTTTTTTCTATCTCTATTTTTACGAATGATTAATTTATTTATATTTTCAGTAAATGTAGTGAGAATGATCTTTTTCGTTATTATTGTCATTGTCATTGGCTGAGACAACACATAATATTGCTCAATCAAAACAACTAAGTAATGCTAATAAATAAGGTTGATTTTTTTTTTTTTTTCAGATTCATCATTGATGTTTACCTGAGTGCATACCATCTTGGAACTTGTATTGTTTACGCTGTTTTTGTAGCAAAAAACGTAAAACAAGTAAAAATTAATGAAATCAATAAATTAATTATAAAATATAAATAATTCAGCTAACCTACCACTAAGGAAATGGGGTATTTCGGTTACATTGCTTATAAGAAAACATCTGAACTTCGTATATCTGATTTTCGTTTTGGCTTTGTTTGGCAACTTTTCGCAAGAAAAAATAATTAATTCCGAGATAATTCTAATATAGTAAATCCTTCACAATAATAAATTAAGATGGGGAAAAACAAATTTCTAATCGTGCTATCGCACAGAGGAACGAGTGAGGGAAAACATCGGGGAACGTCGGCTAAATTAATTTTTTTTTTTTAATTGAACTATTCAATAAAAACGGTGAAAAATTCATATTGTGCCAACTGAAAATATTCTCGGAAATTTAACGAACAACATATCAATAAATACATATCAACATATCAAATAAACAGTTTATCACCGCCCCGCTACTTCTCCACAACTTTCCACCGAAAACTCTTTCTTGTTACCAAGCCTTCGCGTGGATTTTAGGCGAGCGCCCCATCCCTAATCTATCCCAAGTAGGCTAACAACCTTTTAATTTATGTTTAAATAGAGAGAGAGATATGCAGATAGAGCGGATTAAGTAAAAGTAGATTTCAAATCATAAAGCAGCTATTTGTTAGGTTAGTCATTAAAAACTGGTACTACAATGGCTTTTAAAAATTTTGACTTCTTTCTTTTTAAATAATATTAACAATGATAAAGATTTAGTGATCTCGATGCCGATACCACTAACTAATCGTATATATATATATATATATATATATATATATATATATATATATATATATATATATATATATATATATATATATATATATTTCCTCGCGCGGGCTCATTACCGCGTATGGGGAGCGTCCCACAGGTGGCGGATGTGGGGATGGTCGGTGGAAATTCCTTGGAAGTTCCTCCCGACTAAGTCCGATGGACTCGCTGACCAACAATGAGAGGGGCCCTCCAGACTTGCTGGAGGGAGGGGACCTCCAGACTTGCTGGAGGTAGGGGCCCATCAGACTTGCTGGAGGGTGTGACGTAGGATTGAACGCCCTACTCACATATCTTTAGTACACCAAACACCACAGTCATGGATCTCCCTAAGGCAAAACGCTCACTATGCGGAAGTAAACTAGTCCCCCGTTCGGGTCTCCGGGTGGGGACTGCTTTAGGGGATTCATGGCACAAGTTGAAATATAGGGATTTAAATATATGTACGTGGAACGTAAGGAGTTTAAACACAGCAGGGGTTCTAAAATCGGTCGCGAATGAGGTGAATGGGTACAATTTGGATGTCGTGGCTCTGCAAGAGGTTCGCTGGCCAGGGGAGGGCTCGATGAGGGAAGGAAAGTACACCATTTGGTACGGAGGAAGCGGGAATCATTGTTTGGGTACCGGGTTTTTAATTAGGAGTAGATTACTATCCGCTTTGAGGGACGTACAATTCTTTAGTGATAGAATTTCGGTAGCTACATTTCAGGGACGTTGGTTTAAAATCCCATTAATAAACATACATTGTCCGACCGAAGACAGTGACGACGAAGTTAAAAGTGAATTTTACGATAAACTCGAATGGGTTTATGATAAACTACCGCGAAACTACACGAAAATAATTATAGGTGACGCGAACGCAAAGTTAGGAAGGGAAGAAGTTTATATTCTGACGATTGGTAAAGAAAATTTGCACGAATATAGTAATGATAATGGGATCCGTCTGATAAACTTTGCCATCTCGAAAAACCTGATAATTAAAAGTACGACGTTTAAACATAAGGATATTCATAAATATACTTGGACATCACCGGATTCGCAAACACGAAATCAAATCGATCATGTCTTGATACAACATAGCTGGTAAAGCAGTATAATTAATGTACGGTCTTATCGCGGAGCAGAATGTGGGTCGGATCATGAATTAGTAATCGCGAAACTTCGACAAAAACTTAATATAAAAAAATAAAAGAAAACCGTTTTGATTTTGAGAATTTTAATTAGGAAAAAATAAAAAATCCATCAATTAGAACCCAATTCGAGCTAGATGTTAAGAATAGGTTTGAAGCTTTAGAGCTTTCTGACGAGGACCACGAGGATATTGACAAGTTATGGGTAGAGATATTAAAGCGGTCGGTAACTCGTGTCTAGGAAAAAAGGAAAATAAGAATAACAAACCGTGGTTTGATAAAGATTGCTTAAACATGTGCGAAAAACGAAAAGCCGCTAAATTAAAAGCTCTAAATAATCATAGCGAAGACAATCTGGAATACTTCCGAACCTCAATGAACGAAACGACAAAATTGCTCATAAATAAAAAAAGGGAGTATCTTAAAAATAAAATAATTGAAATAGAAACTAACAGAATCAAAAATAACGTAAGAGACATGTACAAAGGTATAAACAGATCACGTAAATGTGTAGGGTCCGTAACATCTGGAATTAGAGATGTTAATAACAATATTTTGACCGATCCGGTTGAAATATTGAATAAGTTTAAGGACCACTTTGACAATATTTTAAATACGGGAAATTATGATCCCTGTCCTCCTTCTGAGTACCAGATTGCTGAACCGTTAATAGAAGGACCAAGTAAAGAGGAAGTTGAAGTAGCTATCGGAAAATTAAAATCTTATAAAGCAGCGGAAACCGATAATATTCCTACTGAACTAATTAAGGCATGCGAGGAAGCTGGAGTTTCTAAAATATATCGGTTGGTTAAAAAGATCTGGGTGAACGAGAAATTACCTGAAGAATGGAAAGAATCTATTCTTATTCCGATTCACAAAAAGGGTCCGAGGACGGATTGTAATAACTATCGAGGAATTTCGGAGACCCGAACGGGGGACTAGTTTACTTCCGCATAGTGAGCGTTTTGCCTTAAGGAGATCCATGACTGTGGTGTTTGGTGTACTAAAGATATGTGAGTAGGGCGTTCAATCCTACGTCACACCCTCCAGCAAGTCTGATGGGCCCCTACCTCCAGCAAGTCTGGAGGTCCCCTCCCTCCAGCAAGTCTGGAGGGCCCCTCTCATTGTTGGTCAGCGAGTCCATCGGACTTAGTCGGGAGGAACTTCCAAGGAATTTCCACCGACCATCCCCACATCCGCCACCTGTGGGACGCTCCCCATACGCGGTAATGAGCCCGCGCGAATAATAGTGGAACTGAACTATGATCTGATTAAAAAAATCATCCAAAGATTTGGCTAAGGTATGGGAAGAGGATATCTGGGAGGTAATAAATATATCCAGGATATCGAGACGTTTTTCGAGAGATATTCGCCAGTAAGTAGGATTTATAGGCGAGAAGATTGACGTAGATTTACTAGATCCTTACAAGTAATATGTGAATTTTATATTATTCTATTGGAAAATATATTACAAGATATTGTATTTTATTTTTTATATATACAGTTACCATTATTTGACAATGTTCCAACCGATATTGTTGAGCAAAATTAAATTATTGGTTCTTAGGGGTCACCTTTGTCTGTTACCTACGAGGAACTATTTTAGTGATTGATTGTGAAGTAAACGAACAAATGATATGAAAAACATCTAAGTACATTGAATGTTTTACATTGTTTGGTATGCCTAGGTTATATCTGCCATTGGTAATCTATGTAATGTTCTTATGTCATTTCTAATGGTAACAAGCAAGACCATCGCGTTGGCGGGACAAATGGGGACATACATTAAAGTCAATTAAAAGAGAACCCGATCCAAAGTTGAATAAGAATGTATGTAGTTAGAAAGTTTTTAGAGCAAAGATATACAAAAATAAAAAAATTCACATCGTTAAGGATGGTTTTGCAGGGTTGGGTTTGATAGCAGCCGATGGATATGAATATATGTATATAATAATAATAATAAAAAGGCTTAGCGAACCCGAAGGTTCGATGCCGACACCACCAATCGCTTATTGCACACCTCCCTCCATCGTTCGCCGTCCAAACCCAGTCCCTTCAGATCGGCTTAATATTCCTACTGAATTAATTAAGGCATGCGGGGAAGCTGGAGTTTCTTAAATACATCGGTTGGTTAAAAAGATCTGGGTGAACGAGAAATTACCTAAAGAATGAAAAGAATCTATTCTTATTCCGATTCACAAAAAGGGTCCGAGGACGGATTGTAATAACTATCGAGGAATTTCACTCCTTCCGGTATGTTATAAAATATTCACTTTAATCTTAACCAGTCAAATCACGGAATACGGCGAGGAAATTATCGGAGACTACCAATGCGGATTTAGACGGAATCGTTCGACTATTGATCAAATATTTTCTTTACGGCAAATATTAGAGAAAAAATTGGAGTACAACGGTATTGTTCACCAGCTGTATATAGATTTTAAAAAGGCTTACGATTCTATTGACCGCCAGAAACTGTATAATATTTTAATCGAGCAGGGGATTCCTAAAAAATTAGTAAATCTAGTCAGGATGCGCTTGACGGAGACACTCAATAAAGTTAGAATCGGTAATAATCTGTCCGAAAAATTTGAGGTTCGTTCGGGTTTAAAACAGGGGGATTATCTTTCGCCTGTCCTATTCAATTTGGCATTAGAACATGCCATTAGGGAGATAATGCGTACCGAGAAAGGGTTGGATCTGGGTGGGACAACATCCGTGCTGGGCTATTCGGATGATCTGGTAATGTTAAGCGAAGACCTTAAAACTATAAAACTAAATACGACAACGTTAATGAAAGCCGGTAAAGAACTAGGACTCGAAATAAACTTGGATAAAACAAAATATATGGTTAGCTGCAAAAATGGCAATACTACTGGTGATACCGATATGGATGGTAATATGTTTGAACAGGTAGATAAGTTTAGGTATCTAGGTTCTACGATAACTAGAAAAATCGAAATTGAAGAAGAGATTAAGGTTAGACTGAAGGCGGGAAATGCTTGCTATTTTTCTGTGACAAAACTAATTAGTTCGCGCCTCTTGTCCCGAAACTTAAAAATTAGAATCTATAAAACAATTATC